GGCCCCCATCCCCGAAGCCGCCTCAGGGAAGTAGTTGCGCGCAGTTTTCGCGCGCCGCTGGGGCTTGCAACAGCCGCGACGCTCGCAACGCCTCGAGGCTTGCAGTGCCCCGGGAGCCGGTAGGGCCTCTTTTGGCTCGGGCTCCCCCGCGCGCTTCTGCTCCTCTGCCACGTGGAGCTTTGTATCAGCCTCTTGTGAAGTCCCTGCCTCCAGCCTGTACCCCGCCCCGAAGCCCCTTCCCTGGCCCCTGACGCAAGAGGGAAGTGTGCTGACAGGGTGTGGCACAACTGAATGTCCCCCAAGGCCGGACACTCAGCTGCTGCCTGAGCCCCCCCCCCCCAGAGCTTAAGTAGGGCATTTCCCTAGGGAGCTTGCTGTTCAGATCCCTTCGGCCACATGCCAACAGTTTAACCTTATGTCTCAGCGCCTTCATCTCCAAAAAGAGGCTAAAAACATCTTCCTTAGGTTATTTGGGAAATTCAGAGACGTAATGCACGGAAAGCATGCAGGTCGGTGCCTGGCACTTAGAAAGGACCGATACAAAGTATTGGGTTGAGAACTATTACAATTGGGCCTGGGTTGTGCACCATTTCCCTGGCTTTAAAAGCTTCTTGGAGGCGAGGAACAAGTAGTACCCTTTACTTTCTGCCCTGCTCCAAGAACGCTTGCCAGAGTGACTTGAACGTGACTCAGGCCCCTCTGTCCTCAGGCAATGGGGAATTGTGGTAAGGGGAGGACCACATACGATAAGATGAAAGACTTGGCTGGGCTGAAGCCCTGGGTGGGGGTAGGGACCGAATCAAAGGATGATGCTTAAAAGGTGGGGGGTGGGGATAGGGTATGGAGGGAAGATAAGACAGGCCTTCGGTTTCCTCTGAGGTAGCCCCCCCACCCCAGTTTATATGCAAACACAAGGCAGGTTGTTATCAAGACCACCCCATAAAAGGGAAGCATACCAGGGCAGGAGACCAGGGAAGCTCTCTGAGACTGAGTGCCCAGGGAGCAAGAAGTCCTAGGATCAGTCCAGGGATCAGAAGAGAGAGAATAAAAGAGGGAGGGAATGTGTCAACGATAAGCTTGATCAGCACATGCTGTCCTTTCTAGGCCGGCACACCCTGGAGGGCCAGCAGGGATAACACTGTTTAGCAAGGGTCAGCAACCTCCCAAGCCACCCTTCAAAGAGGACAGGAGGAAGACGAGGGGGGAGGCACAGGGCTAAGGGCCAAAGAAGCCAGAGAAAGGCAAGGGGCGTGCATACAAGCCATGGCCCGGTGCCCACAGCCTTGGCCTCTGGTGTCTGCCTGGCTTGCTCCCAGGACTCTGTCCCTGGGGTGAAGGTACTGAGAGAAAAGGAGCATTAAGAAATCCCAGCTGAAGGAGTGGCCACTGGGGACGGAAGCTGGGTAGCTGGGAGCCACAGGTAGTGGGAAGGAGACTGACTTTATTCTTATTTACCTAAAGTAAAATGCACAAGTTAGTTTGCAGCTCCATGAATTTTTATGTGTATCTACCACACCTCTGCATGCACTTTCCAGTTCAAGATATAGAATACTTTCATCTTCTCGTTGAAGTTACTCCCCACCCTGTGGGTAACCACTATTTCAACTTCTGTCACCAAAGATTTACTTTGCCTGTTGGTGAATGTCATATACATGGATCATATGGTATGTACCATCTGCATCTGGCTGGTACTTTTTGCTCAACATGACATTTGTGGTATTCTCCCATATTGTAGTTCATTTCTGTTTCCTTAAGTGTGTAGAATTCCATAGCAAATACATGATAATTTAGTTATACACAGGAGACTGACTTTTTTAATATATTTTTGTGTGTCTATCTTTGACCTGTTTTACCTTTTCAAAAAAAGAAAAAGTTTAAAAAATGGTTTTAAGAAAAAAAAAAGTTCCCAAATAGAGAACTAATTTCTAGGAACATATCAGATCCACACATCACCATGTGGTTGTTACTGTAAAAGCTCTAACTTAATTCACATGTTGGAGGTAAATATCTATTGAAAGTCTCCTGGTAGTTCCAGGAACCAGACATGGCTACTTCTGGAGCAACGTGCGGTAGAAGGGCATGGCTCTAGGCAGAGCATCAGACTATGATTCTAGAGCGGTGCTTTCAACCTGAGCTGGGTGGGAACAAATCTTTTTCCACGGTGTCACCTTGAACCAGTATGGGGTGAAGGGATGAGTGGAAGTTGACACACAGCCCCTCTCCTGCTCCTGTTTCCTACCTTGAACTTCCATCTCGTGTTTCATTTGATGGAAGTGTTCTACTGCTTTAAAAACTATGAGAAACCCATGTTTGTAGCATAGATGCTGGCTAGTAGCACTCCCCGAGAAATGTCTGATCTGAATGATTCCACGGATACACAAGACAGATTAAAAGACCACATTTTGATGTTCTGCCTTCTTTTCTCTCATTCACTCCACCTCAGTCACGCTTCTTAGCTGTTCTAGGAACAAGTCATGCTCCCACTGCAGGGCCTTTGCACTTGCTGTTCCATATGCTTGGAATGCTCTTTCCCCGGATAACCACATTTTCAGCTGTCTCACTTCCTTCAGGTCTTTGCTTAAAAGTCACATTCTTAGTGACCAGTTTTCCCTGGTTACCAAATCTAAAAATATCATCCACCAGCCTGCAACTGATGTGTCCCTTAACTGCTTTACTTTTTTCTCTTTTGCACTTATCACCGTCCAACATACCATGCCGTTTACTTATCTTCTGTACCAGATCTTTGCCCAGAAGAGTGTAAGCTCTATAACGGCAAGGATTTTTTTCTCTTTTTGTCTCCCCTCTCCCCCAAGTACACACAGTGTTACATATAAACGCCTAGAACAGTGCCTGGCAAACATGTGTTGAAAAGAATTTCTTTCACTTAACAATAATTTATTGAGGAGCGTCTAGGTGCCATGCCCCATGCCAGGAACTGGAAGATCAGATGAACAAGGTAGACTTGATTCCTGATCTTTTGGAGTTTACATTCTAGTTGAGAAGGCAGACTTTATTTGAGTAATTAATTATGATTGTGACAGCTGCTGCAAAGACAAAGTACAGGATGCAAGGTGAGATTGCCTCGGAACAGAGAAAGGAAGAGCATTCAGGGGTCTGGAGCTTGGGAGGAGAGCTGTGGCAGGAGCCCTGTGGGAGAGGAGAGATGAGGCCAGAGAGGTCGACCCCCACTAGATCCTGTGTGGCAGGGTGGGCTCAGATAGGAGTGGAGTCTTTATCCGGAGGGCCACGGAAGCCACTGATAGTTGTACCAAGACTCTTTGACTGCCTGAGACTGTCTGTGGTCTGCCTTCACGAATGAGCGGCTGGGAGAGGCAGACCCCTTGGAGCAGGGACTTGGCTTGAGAGTTGGACCAGGAAGGGCAGTTCGCAGGAGCTTCTTCCCTCCTTTCTTTGGCTCAGGAAAGAAGCAAAAACTACTGGTGGCTGTCAAGAGGAGGGTCCAGAACATTATCATCTCAGCTTCCTCCTGCCTGTGAATTTGCAAGTGCTACTCCAGGCAGAAAACCTAAATACTCACTAAGACTGGGACTTTGAACTTGAGCAATACCCAACAAAGGTAAGACAAACAAGTGAAAGAAAAAAGCCCTTCTCCAAATACCTGAGGGCTTACCCCGCCCCACCCAGGTTACACTTTCCTATGGTCTGAGTCCACATGTGGTTTGGGGTGAGGTTTTTGCCAATCTGCAGTGAAATGAGAACACTAAGGGGGTAAATGGATGAATCCTTTTGTACGTGCAAGTAAATTACCAATGAGTTTGTTCTCAGCAAAGACTATTGTTTATTCCGAGATTACGTCCTTCCAATTTTTTTCTTTTCTCAGAGGGTTGGGTTACTTAAATGCTCCTTTTTAAAAATGGAATGTTAGCAATAGTAGACAGTAGTTGCCTTGCTTAAAACATCCTCAGTTGACAAAATCCCAAGTTGACAAATCTGTGTCGCCTTCCTAACCCTCCCTCCTCACCAATTTTATTCTTGATGTTTTACGTGCACCAAAATCTAAATAATTTTCATGAAACTTTCCAAGATAGTGTGATTAAGGGGAAGAGAAAGAGAAAACAGTATCAGTGCCTGAAAAAGCTGCCTAAAATGGATAAAAGCTAGGAGGGTTAAGACTGAGATTGTAATTGCCAAGACTTAATGCCCTACTTTATGCTGAGTGTTCCTTCAATGGTTTAAGAGACAACTTTGTTTCTTGAAGCAACTAACTAGCTGGAGTGTCCTAGGAACTGGGGAAAACCTAGCTCATTTCACTGGAAAAACTCAGGCCTGGGCTGGTATCACTGGGGATATCTGTAGAATATTTCTGAAGATAGGATCAACTTCTGAAGAAG